CAGTAATAAATACAGTTAACTCATAGCCATCTATATATAAGTATGATATTGCAATCTGAAATGGATTTCCAAAATGGAGCTGATGTTGTAGGAGTTTGGTCAATACCTGTACACAGAGTACACTATGATCAGTGAATTGCAACAGGTAAGAGGTTTGATTTCTGCTAGTAAAGTCCCGAGTGTGATTTATAGTTTGGTTGACGGACTCCCAGTGCTCCTAAGTCTTTAAATTCACTTCTTTTATTGACTCCTAATCGAATTTATTCCCCGATATTCACATTTGTCATTACTTAGTTATGTTCGGAAATTTAGTGTACTATTTTTGAACACTACACGACAGTGCGAACCAGGAGTACGGAATATTTTATCTTTTTGTGATTTCCAGCGAGAAATGTCAAAAGCAATATTCAGAAAACCCTGTTTTTAATTTAAAATTCCACCTAAATGGGTCAAAGGTGCGAAATGTTCGTGGTCAAAGCGTGACTGCTTCATGATCACAATTGTTTTCCTTCGGTCATTCGATTATCCTTATTTTTCCATATCATGTCCTCATAGTCGTTATCGGGCCCAGAAGTGACATAACGACCAGAACCGTAATCCAAACATCCGGCAATGTGTTTCGTATACCACTGTCTCCTTTATTCCCAACGTTTTCTCTGTTGGTCGTTCAAATCTAGAGCGTGCAGCGCATCAAATAACTCAATGGTTCAGTTCGATTTATTCAGACCCACAGAGTTGTTGTCTACCTCCGATGCGGGTACTACACTCGGCAGACTGAAGGAGATGATTACGAGTTAGGGATTAAATCAACATTCTGAATTGAAGAAGGTTATTGCTGCTCAAATCCGTAGACTTTTATTAGTCATACTAGTTTTTATACCGGGTGAAGATAAAAGTTCAAATAATTTTGTGTTCATTATCTAAGGTTGCATTCGGAATAGAATATGATGTCAAAATTTTGAAAAACTTGAAACAGGAAGTCTGTCATCTCCATGGCAGAAATTGTTAAACACAGCATTTCAAAAATAGGAATAATATAAAAAATCACGCTTCTCGTGACAGATAACTGTGTTGTTCCTGGACATGAATTCACGCCTATTCACCGGGGATGCCTTATATGGTTTGCAGTTCCGAGTCTCCAAGTTAAGCTTGTCGATTACTACCATAACCGGAAGAGTTGTCTGGCCTTGGTGATCATTGGGCTTACCCCTTATGTTGCTGATCACAGAGATGTGAATCAAAAAATATCATAGCCAGGTAGTAACCTCATCAAATCAGCCCATCCCATCCCACCCTCTGTCCACCTCTCAGTTATCCCGTAAAGGGGGGGGGTGGCAGACGAAAGTCTGAACATGATTTATTTTGATGCAACACACAGAGCGTATCACATTCCGGTCCACCCAGTACAGAATACTTCTAGCAAGTGCCCTAGTT